CCCCAAAACCCCAAAACCCCAAAACCCCAAAACCCCAAAACCCCAATAAAAGAGGGAATAATTTAAATAATTTAAAATGACTGAGCTGATACCATACGAGAATGAGTCCATTGCCAGGAACTTTATCTTTGGATTCAAATCATCCCTTCTCATGCTCCAAACTTTCTTTGTTATTATTGTGATTATCACAAGAGAGGAATACATCTATCGAGCAATTGATAGTGATTTGAGTACGGATAGTAATAAATACAAAACTGCGGAACTCATAACCATAATTTCATCATCAGTTTTCTTTGCATTTCTCCTACTTGAATTCTTCGTTATATTAATGGGTATCAGTACTAAATTTCTAAAAGCAAGCTCTTTCCAGATCCTCTTACACTTCTGGGGATGAATCTTGACTCTATTCGTAATAATCAACAGAATGCACTACAGCCTCATCGTAATTATCACTGTCATCTTCGGCCTGGTTCCTTTCCTGATCGAACTGTTAGTCCTTTGCTACTACTATTTCCAAAGGAAAATCCAACAGAATTACATTCAGAGGCCTGGGCAGAGAACCCACCTCTCTCGTGAAGAAGTCAGTCGCAGGAAGAAGATTGAAGAAAAGAACATCCAACGCTCTAGAGGACATCACATGAATAATGAGATTGAAGAAGTAAAGGAACAAAGGCGTAAAGAGAACAGGGGTGCCAATGCTAACCTCAACCAAGAAGATGACCAGAGGATCGAAGGCCAGGATAACCCATTCGATGATGACCATCAGCCTAGAGAAGAACACAAAGATGATTTGCATGATTATGAAGATGAAGATGAAAAATACGAAGAAGATGAATATTATAAGCAGGATTACCCTAGAGATGGACCTTCGCTTAATCCTGACCGAGATTATGATGATGACTACTCTCGCAGTCCACCAAGGGATTATGATTATTCCAGAAGTCCTAGAAATCATAGTGAAGGATATTCCCCAAACGATAGGTCTGGAGAAAGATCAAGATCAGGCGGTAGATCAAGATCTGGCGATGGATCAAGATCTGGTGACAGAAATAGACCTAGAAGATCAGATGATTTGTCCAGAGGTATGGATCTTGATTAAGAGCAATATTCTAAAGTATTTTCAACCTATATTTATTGATTAGGGGTTTTGGGGTTTTGGGGTTTTGGGGTTTTGGGG